TGGCCGGAATGATATGGTGTTGAGCAAGGGTGAGGTTGTTTACGTCAGAGGTGTCAACAAAGCCCAGTTGTGACGAAATGGTGCCAGGGGTACTGACCTCCCCGGGGGTGGTTTTATCTGCCCCCTGGAAGGAAGGAGCACCTGGGGCAACCACTCCTGAGTCTGCGTTCCCTGAGGTGCCGTTGTTCCTTATTCCTGGCACACCCTCAGGGAAAGCAAATTGCGTCATCACCACTGGTGTGTCCCTCCGGCCTGCCTCCGGGGGTAAAGCATACTGAGTCATCACTACCGGGATGTCTTGTGGTCCCTGGGGGAGAGTATAGTGAGTCATGACCACAGGGGTGTCTCGGGGGCCCACAGGACGCCTGGGAAGAAGGACATTCAACTTATTGTTCCTCACAGGGACTCCCTCGTGGTCTGACTTAGGTGTTTCAGCCAGAAAAGCATTGACAGCGTCTGCTACATGAGTGTTCCTTGCCAGGGCGCGACCTTCCGCGGCGTCTGACCAAATTCAAGGACAAGAAAGAGTTCGGTCTTTAATTTTGAGTTTCGAAGATAAACAAGAGTTTCTAAATCCTAATATCTGAATTTTTCTCACTAAAAGATTATTCAATATAAATAGGCATTCAATATTATAAAGAATAAAAAAGTGGAATATAGGAGAATGAAACTCATGACTTTTCGGTCTTCAGTGTGTCTAGTTAATAGTCCCAGTTGGACTGAAACATCGTCATAAGTTTCATACTCGTGCGGGTTATTTTATGTATTATTCAATAATATATTTGTGGAGGCGCGTCTTACCTGCCACAGCGTCGAGGCTGACCAGGACTTGAGAGGCTGCAGCAGTGAGTGATAAGGTGACCACCACTACCACTACCACCGTCCATACTCTGTCACTGATGACACTCATACTGCTGATCACCTGAGGGATACACAATGGGAGTCACTCGCTCATATCTTCACTATCATTTGCTGTATAGCCCTTGTGGCTTAGCGCTTCTTTTTGATTATAATAATTCACTATCATTTGTTTAGATCTTTTATACTCCGATGCCGTTAATCTATTGTTTGTATCTTTTCCTGGTATACTCGAGGATCCGTCTGGATTCAAGGTCCTCCATATATAAAATGGCCAGTACTGCACTAAGGGGTGAGTCCATGGCTAGCTCGAACAGTGTTGTCTTGAAATCTATAACAGTTATAACGAACACAGTTCGACGAGGTACTCAAGAATCTTTCTTAGTAAGACCCGCAACATACTCCAAAAGTCAAAGTCTTCAAATTCTGTCCTAAAATTTGTATTAATAAAGCCACTAGGTGGCGAAACGTCTACAATACCCAGATGTTGCACATGTGTCTTAATTTTCATCATTCTTGTACAACTTGTCAAACACTGCAACATTGTGGAATCTTGATTCTGAGGACATGTACATAACCTTCACGGCTACGACCACTACTATTACAGCTAACCCATCTCTTTGGGTATGACTTACTTCCACTGGGGAATCCCGCCTACTAGTGACTATGCCTTCAACATGACTCACGAAATCGTAATGACACGATTACAAACAAACCATACCACGGGCGGGATTTGAACCCGCGGTCAGAGAGTCTCAAAACTCCAGTGGCTAACGCGATGGTCTGGAGTTTTGAGACTCTCTGACCGCGGGTTCAAATCCCTCCCGTGGTATGGTTTACTATGCCTTCGTCTGCTACACGTCCCCTTTCCATCTATAGAAGCGCCAACCTCCGTGCCACTGGATGGCAAAACTTCTACAATAAAAATACCCAGATGTTGCACATGTGTCTTTCACCTTGCTTTATAGTTTACCGAAGACCCAAAAGTCAAATGAGATCTTGTATTGACAGCGCCCCACACAGGCTAACAGAAGTTTCGGTTACGATAAATCAGGCTCACCTGAAGCATTCGGAAGACCTCCTTAACCGGAGGGATCTCGACATGAGTGACAAGAATGATGATACAGAGGTACCTGTACCTTACCAGGATTTTGAGCCTCCTCGAACTATGCGTTCGTTATAACTTTTAGATTCGAAGACAAGTATAAATAACTGTTCGGGCTAGCCAAGGACTCACCCCATTATCCCTCACTGTATTAAGTAAAAGTCGATTTTTATTGTAGATATTTATTAACAAACATGTTACGCAATAACAAATATACACGTGATTAAAAGATAAAGCCGAATTCCTTAAGTAAGCTGCAGAGTTCACACTCCTCTCCCTCAACACCGGGCGCTATCTCCACGTTTCTGACACTGCTGTCGTTGTTTATGAAGGGGTTACTATCGTTGTACCTGGCGATAGTGCTGTCGCTCACATCATTATCGCCGTCCCTGGTGATGTTACTGCCGCTCGTGACGTCATCATCGTTGTCCCTGGTGGCGTTGCTGTCGCTCGCGACGTCATTAACGTTGTCCGTCGTGGCGTTGCTGTCGCTCGCGACGTCATTATCGTTGTCCCTGGTGGCGTTGCTGTCGCTCGCGACGTCATTATCGTTGTCCCTCGTGGCGTTGCTGTCGCTTGAAAAGTCATCATCGCCGTCTCTCGTGGTGTCTAGATTATTTCTGCTGTTGTGAATATTTCCCAGGTCGTAACTCTCACCGGCGTCACTGTCACTATCTTCTGCTTCATCATCTTGCAAGGCTCTCGCGGCTTTCTTCCAAGCAATAATGTCGCGTCTGAGATGTGGCAGACATCTGTAGGAGCCATGGCCTAGGGGGGCCCTGGTGAAGGGGTCTGTGGGTGACACCAACAGCAGGTAGATCAGTGTCGACTTGTCCACCATCATGTTGGAAGAACGAAGCAACACTGGCATCTCCATCACCGCCTGCGTCACACTGTCCACGAACTCCTCCGGGCAGTTCGACAGCAGCGACTTAAGAGGCACTGGAAGATGATGGTATAATAACCCTGACTTTGCTGCCTGTTGACCGAGGGAAGTCAGTACTTGTGCATGATCATGCTGCAGAACTTTAGAAATATAATTGTATTTGTACTGAACGGATAGCACCTGGAAAAGAGCATCCAACTTAGAAACGACCCAGAAGCAGCTGCTGGGATGTTTGTTTTGCAAAATGGGGCCCACGTTAACGAAGGAATTCATGGTGGTGACCAGGGAAGCTGCGGCGACCTGAGCCAGGCCAGGACTCTGGTAAGCCTTCTTCGTGGGTAGCTTCGTGAGCATCATCGTGAATTGGTAAATGATATCAAAGAAATCCCATATCGCGAGCGGTGCACTGAGTAAACCTGCCCGAAGAAGCTTCTCTGTCTCTTCTGCTTTCTGGCTCAAGAGTTTCACCAGATGACTGAAGAATGCTGCTTCTGGGCCAATCGTCAGGTTAGTGACTTGGAGCACAGCGGCAGCAGAGACGGCATCCAGGTAAAAGTACTTGCGTAATTTATACAGCACATGGACGAGGGAGTTGAACAGGCTTTCTTTTAAGCCAGAAGACATTATATGGTCCAATTCTATGTATGCACTAGTATATACTAGCCCAGTAGCAACTAGTTGGCCGAGGGTAGCATTCAGGAAGTCCGCATCTGGCCACATGGCAATGAAGCGAATCATCTGCGCACGTAGGTGTACGTTGGGGCACAATTCAGCATCAGTGTACATCTTGAGTATCCAGGGCTTTAAGTTGCCAGCCCGCAACAAGTGAGTGTCTATAAAGTCCTCTGGTTGCCAGTAGCTCACTAATTCCACCACAATCCACAGGACGCTCTCCCAGTGACCTGTTATCGGGACTGACTTCGCTCCTATACACGAAGACAGAGTCACTGCTAAAAACACCCCAAGATTCGCATTATGGATGGCTACCACGGCTGGTTCTTCATTACGCAGATTAGTATGTAGCTCGTTCTCAACTCTTTTCATGATCTCTAAAAAAATATGAACAGAGATTTTACTAGGATCGATATTTGAAACAGCTTTAAGAAATGCATCCATTTCTGTAATGATATGATTGGTTTCCATTTCAAAGGATGAAACAACAATGTGTGAGAAACCAATGTACTGCAGTCTTTATAGTTCTCAGCGTCAGGTGAGTCAGCGGAGATTACGATGAAAAAACAGTGTCCTTTATAGTCTTTATAGTCCTCAGCGAGGTGAGGTGAAATCACCTTCTGAAAAACAACACTGAGGCAGGCCTACTGGCCCAAACTAGGCAGGTCCTTCTCTAAATCAACCATTCCCACCCACTCATTTGCCCAACATTTTCCCAAAGCTACCCAAGAATTACCTTCGATGCCTCAGGTCCTGTTGTAAATGGTATGGATTACCGACATTTGAAGATTACACAAGAAAAGAGGAACACTGCAGCAGGCCTGTTGGCCCATATTAGGCAGGTCCTTTACAATTCATCCCACTAACAAAACATTTGCCCAACCCAATTTTCAATGCTGCCCAAGAATTAAGCTCTGATGTGCAAGTCCCACTCAAATCCAACCCCTCCCACTCATGTACTTATCCAACCTAAACTTGAAGCTACCCAAAGTCTTAGCCTCAATAACCCAACTAGGTAGACTGTTGTTAGGTAAGACACATATGCAACAGTTAGGTATCTTTATTTCGAAACGTTTCGCCTACACAGCAGGCTTCTTCAGTCGAGTACAGAAAAGTTGATAGAAGCAGAAGATACTTGAAGACGATGTAATCAGTCCATCACCCTTAAAGTTTTGAGGTGGTCAGTCCCTCAGTCTGGAGAAGAGCATTGTTCCATAGTATGAAACAATGTTTCATCCCATCCCACATGAGTGGGATGGGTTGGATTTGAGTGGGACTTGCACATCGGAGCTTATTTCTTGGGTAGCATTGAAAATTGGGTAGGTCAAATGTTTGTTAGTGGGATGAATTGTAAAGGACCTGCCTAGTATGGGCCAACAGGCCTGCTGCAGTGTTCCTCCTTTCTTATGTTCTTATGTTCTTATGTTGTAGGTTCTGCCACAAACTGCTTCAAAAAACAATAAGAACATAAGAACATAAGAAAGGAGGAACACTGCAGCAGGCCTGTTGGCCCATACTAGGCAGGTCCTTTACAATTCATCCCACTAACAAACATTTGACCTACCCAATTTTCAATGCTACCCAAGAAATAAGCTCTGATGTGCAAGTCCCACTCAAATCCAACCCCTCCCACTCATGTACTTATCCAACCTAAATTTGAAACTACCCAAAGTCCTAGCCTCAATAACCCAACTAGGTAGACTGTTCCACTCATCAACTACCCTATTTCCAAACCAATACTTGCCTATGTCCTTTCTAAAACAACCCCTTTATCTAAAATTTTAAAACCATTACATAAGAACATAAGAATGTAGGAACACTGCAGAAGGCCTACTGGCCCATACGAGGCAGGTCCTTATCAAAACGACATCTACCTAAAGCTACTCAAGAAACAACTCCCGCACCCCCCAACACCAATCAAACCCAGCCCCTCCCGCTCATATATTTGTCCAGTCTCTTCTTAAAGCTACCCAAGGTCCTAGCCTCTATCACCCCACTGGGAAGACTGTTCCCACGCATCTACAACTCTGGTTAGAAAACCAGT